CTGAGGCCTGATTCCCTGTTCTCTGAGCCTCGCTGATGCTCAGTGCGTCCTAGCCTATCCTCTCCTACCCCTCCACCTGGACCCGCACTCACTTCTTTCTACAGAGCTGAAGCCACAGAAGCCCTTGTTTCCCTTCCTGGGACACCCCACACTCCTCCACTCTGACCAAGCCTCGCCCAGGACCCCCCGGGCGTCTCTCATGGTGTTCACTAGAAAAGGACATTTCCTGAGGTGACGAGGCCAGCTAACCCCACGGGTACTGGCAGTTGGGCTGGGTCAGAAGAGAGTAATGCCTAGAGGCTGGTCTTCAGGGAAAAACCTTCAGAAACAGACAGCAATGGTCTTGGGGAACAAGTTCTAGACACCTCATTGCTGCTGCCGGGAGGAACGACTGGCCCCGAGGCTGTGCAGTGGAATGGTGTGCTCGGGCTGCTGCAGCCGTGGACCTCGGCAGATGTCGGATTGAGCCCCCAGCGGCCCAGCCAGAAGCGGGCATTGCTGTCCAAGCGCCTTTGTCCTCCTGGAAGGTGATAGACTTGCGGGTCTCCGCAGTTCGCTCTCGGGTTCTGGCACCTGGCAATCCCGCCCCAGTGCAGCCTTTGGGCCAGAGCCAGGTCCCCAACAACTGGTGGCCCGTGGGGCGAAGTGGCCTACACTGTGATTCTGACTGGGATAGGAGAAGGCAAAGCGTCGAAGAGGAAAGGGGTTTGCTTGACAGGTGGTATGAGCCAGACTCTGACTGACTAATCAAGGACAAGAGGCCTCTGGCACCTGGGGCGCGCAGGTGTTGCTCACTCCGGGACTCCTCTGCTCGCCCCTGTAGAAATCCCGAGATCCCGAGAGGAGGGGCTCTGTGGGGCGCGGTTGTGGCAGCAGCACCTGGGGCCTGATACCACCATTCTCTGAGCCTCGCCCGATGCCCATCCTCTCCTTGCGCCTACCTCAGGACCTGAGCTCACTACCCCACACAGCTGAAGCCACAAAGCACGCCCTGCGGGCTCCAACTATACCCCTTTTGCCTAAAAAGAAAAACAAAACCGAGGGCAGCACCCAGCCTCGACTGGAGAATGCAGGTAGAGTGGGCCTTCAGCTTTGGTGGCGGTCTCTGGACTGAGGACTTGTGGAGTGGGGGTGCTGGGAACTCCTGGGAAGACAAGCTGCACTTGGGGCACCAGGATACAAGAGCCTGGGAGCGCTCGTGTGTGAGGAATAGGTGGGTCCTCGGAGGCCCTGTGTGAAAGATAGCACTAGGTTTGGTGGGAGGCCCAGGAAGGGAACACAGTGGAATGAGGGCCACCATGAGGTTACTTGGTGGCTGCAGAATTGGGGGTCGGGGGGACCATACATAGAGCCAGCTGAGAACCAGAGTTTGTTTTTGAAAGACACTGTATCCATAAAGACATGCATATGTCGGTTGTATCTATCTGATGCCAGTTACAGAAATGATAATGAAACTTGCACTGAATGCTTCTTGTGTGCTAATGCTCTATATTCATACCTATTTTTCTATAGAATTTCCATTTTATAGATGAGGAACCTGAGGCAAAAGAGATAAAGTAATATGTCCAAAGAACCAGACAGTAAGGGGCAGCCAATATACAAATCCAGGTGTCTGATTCTAAAGCATATACTCTTTTTAAAATCATGCCAAATTGAAAAGGGAAAAAAAAACCCTACTTTTGTTACTGCATAAAGAGTCATCTGATAGTTTCTCCTATAGGTAATATGCTTGTTTTGTTTTAAATTCCTAACACCTATTTTTAGAAAGGCACAACATCTTTACACAATAAATTCAAAATAGTAGAGTGATTTCTCATCTAGGAATGATAATATTTTTCGTCTTGACTGCTACAGACTCCTTGAAATTCTAGTTGGCATTTGACAAAATTTTATTTTGATTGGATTACAGTGGGAAAATACTACACAAATCACAAGCATAGTAATTTGTAGTTCTCCTGGTGTCACAGTGATTGCTGTAAAATAGAAAATTTCATTTAAAATACATAATCTTGACTCTGGGACCCCTCCATGCTCTGAAATCTTAATGAGGATGGTATCCAGAGCTGCTGCAAGCAGGTTTAATTCATCTGGGAAATGCACTCTCTCCTAGCGACAGCATCTACCTCCCCGCCCCGCAATTAAAGTCAAAAGCTAATTTGAAAGCTGAGTAATATTTTCAAAATCAGTAAGTAAATATCATGACATAAAGCAGTTATAGAACCATATAGAAGATTTTCTAATCATAAAATTATAATAGTGTCTCATTTTTAAGGTAACTGAGTAAAATCAGATGGAATTACTGTTAAACTGTGTTAAGCCTCTCTTTGCCAGTGCTGAACATTTATATTTAGACCAACTGGGTAATTACTTGAAGTGACAGTTCAGACTCGAGAGTATCTTGTTAGATGATTAAAATGAGAAACAAATGTGGATAAAAGATGATCAATGTTTTCAACTTTGTTCAGTCGGAGGATGTGAAAAGAGACCTTTTTCTTTTTCAGCCTTGCCTTACACCCCGATAAAACTCTCGTTGCAACTGGCCAAGTTGGGAAGGAACCATATATATGTATATGGGATTCCTATAATGTCCAGACTGTGTCTATTCTTAAAGATGTCCATACACATGGAGTTGCCTGCCTGGCTTTCGACTCAGATGGACAGGTGTGTATCTTCTTCCATTTTTTTTTTTTTAAATGACTTCTCATAAGTCAGAATCCTAATACACATAACCTATAGCCTTAGAAAGTCTATCAGTGCTGTCTCTCACCTTGGTGAGCCTCTTAGAATTTTCACCTGTTTGATCCTTTTCCAAGCTTGTGGCACTGACACCATGCATCGGATAAGCCCATTTTGGTTCCCCCAGTCTCACCATCTGGTGAATAAGCCTCCAGGAAGGAAGCCATGAACTCATGCTGATCCAGTCTGTCATGACTCAGCAATTTCGCTTGTCTTCCATTGTTAGCCTCCAATTTGGAATAAGGGTTGGACCAAAGCTTTTTCACAAACCTCAAGTTCTGAGCAACACTTTTGTCCCCTTGCTTT